CGGAGCCCGGCCGGGGCCGACGCAGTCCCCCCGCCCACGCCTCCCGCCGTGGCGACTCCTACAACGGGAGGGGGGCAAAGAACGAAAACGGAAATAAGAAAAGTAAATAAAAATGGTTGCACGAAATATGGAAGGGACGGAGTACTTGTGCGCGTCCGACGGCAGCGAAGGCGTAGAGTACTACGACTAAAAGGAGAAGAACAGAGAGACTGCCGTGCTTCTTCATCATCGTGTGAAGTGTGGCGCTGGTTTGGCCCAGTTATTAAATTCCGCACATATTTTGGCGCTAAGAAATGGTTGTTGCTTTTCTCGCTTGCTTCGGTATCCCTGCGCTGGTTGAGAGTGGGCTTAAGGAGCCTCCATCTAGCACCTTCTTCCTCTATCATGGTGTCATGGTCTGCCTGGCCCCAGGCACAGATGGTCCCATTGAAGGTGTGCATTGGATGTATGCACATGGCTCTGGGCTGAAGGAGAGGCACACCTTCTCACCCTGTGCCAGTGAGGTGCTGGGGTACAGCTTTCTCAGGTGCAACCTGGGCTGCCTCATGGCTAAGGTTGTCATTGTGCTGTACTTAGATTGGCAGTTGGTGGCTGGGGAGACCAGCAAGCAAGTCTGACTGTGTGGTGCTGCCTGATCTGATCCATGCCAGTTTTGATGAGGGGAGAAGGCACTCTACCCCAACAATGATAATTCAGAGTCTGACAATGGGGATGAGCATGGTCAGTGGATCATGATGTCTGTCAAGAACACGCCCAAGATATCATAACTATTGTTAAATTTCTGCGGAATTGTTTTTGCTCTCTTTTTGTGTGTAAACTTGCAAAATGACGCGTCGAGCCAGCCAGTACAAAAAAAAAAGAAGACCCAAGAGCAAGAAGGTGCCACGCACCACGATGGAGAGACCAAAGGCGACGTTCGTCGTGACTGTGCTCTTCGTGGTGGTCCTTGCCACTGTACCCGCCGTTGCCGGGTTTATCAAGCGAGACGGGATGGGGTTCGTGGACTCTGCCACCAGCCAGCCGGTCCGCTTCGGCGGCACCAACAACTACTACCTCCACTACAAGGTACCCCCAAAGCCCCCCTCTCTTTCATTCCGTCCTCAACCCATTATAACCAACTTTTGTTCATTGGCCAACAATTAATAAATAATTTTTTGACCACGCGCCAATGGACACCACAGCCAAAGCAGATGGTGAACCACCTGTTCGGCAATGCGTCGGCCTACGGGTTCAACGTGGTGCGCGTGTGGGGCTTCACCGACGTGG